TTTCAAGTTTTTCCTTGTGTGTAAATTTCATGTCAATTTTTTTTCGGTTGCATCAAATTTTCATTAAAAAAATTTTTTTTTTTTGCTTCGGTGAATTTTTTCATCAAATCAAATCAAAACGGATTTTGAAGAAAAGAAGAATGAAGAACATCAGGTTTGTTTGTTTGCTTTGTAATGATAATATCGATTAATTCGAATGAAATATTTTGTTTGGTCAAATTGTGTTTACCCGAGAAAAAAGAAGAAGAAGAAGTTTATTCTTCTTAGTTTTGATATTCTGTGTTCATTATGGATTCCATATAAATACTGTTTTATTCTGGATATTTTTCTTCCATTCATTCATTCATTCATTCAGTTCATAACATAACAAACAAACAAACAAAACAAACAAAAACTAATCCATTATCATTGCTGATTTCAAAATATCATTATTATCATCATCATCATCATCGTAGTCATAAAAGATTAGAGCATAGAAAAGCAGTAAACCAAACTAAACTACAAGTAAAAACTAAACTTTCTTCTTTTTTATATTATTATTTATTGCGTGTTTGCATCTCGAAGAAATTTATCAAGACCAAAATTAAGAAAAAAAAAAGAATAAGAAGAAGAAGAAGAGAAAGAATATAGTTCAATCGATCAGACAGATGAGTTGCTTTTCAATTCGATTTTTCAATCAAAAAAAAAAATATTTTTTTTTTCAAATGATGACTTTATTTTGTCGTTATTTATCATCTAAATAATAATAATAACAACGAACCTAAAAAATATCTTTCGAAATTGAAACTTTTCAACAACCAACAACAACAACAGCAATATTGTTTGCTGTGGTTGTTATCAGCAACTTTCCTTCTTTTTGAAAATTTTGAAAGAATTTTTGAAAATTCAGAAAAGAATTTTTCCTGCCAAAAAAGAAAGAAAGAATGGATTATTATTATTATTATTATGGCAATGTTGTTATCAATTTTTTAATACTTTCCTTTCTTTTTTGTTAACGAAGAAGAGAAAATATGTTTATATTATCCTGGGAACACGGGAAAAATGATGATGATGTTCATGTTCATCATCATCATCATCATCATCATCAACCAGATAAACAACAAACCCACATTTTTCTGGTTACAGATTTGCTGTTGTTGTTGCTGTTGTTGTTTTTACATCCTAAATTGCCAATTTATTTTCAACAACAACAGCGAAAAACATTCAAATTTTGTTGTTGTTGTTGTTGCTTGGTTGGATTCAGAAAAATCAAGTTTTCCTTTTCCCTTTTTCGTTTTCAGGTTGTCTATCGGGATTTGATTTTCTTTTTTTTTCTCTGATATGAAATTCCGTTTGAAACAAAAAACAAAAACAAAACAAGAAAATAATGAATAAAATATTGACAAACATTGAAAATTGAAAGTTTGCTGAAGAAAATTTCCCTTTCGTGTTTCTTCATCAACATTATTTACTGAATTGGGGGGGGGGTGAAATTTGAAATTTGAAATTTCAAATGAAAATTTTTTCAATTTTCCTTTTTGATTATTGATTTCAAATGATTGATTGATTGGAAGAAATAAAATCAATCGATCGATCGATCGATTCAATAAGAGAGCGAAAAAAATGGTTTACATATGAAAACTGTCTTCAAACTGAATTCATTATTCAATTTCATCACACAGGAAGAAAGAAGATCTGTTTAATCAGTTTTTTTTTCTTACAAGAGGAATATTCCTTTTTTTGTGTTTTATATTCAGTCTAGCGAAATAACAAAAACAAAAACAGCATGTAAATATTGTTGTTGTTGTTTTTAGGAAATATTCATTTTCTCGTTGATGATTCCATTTTATTCAATTCAATTCAATTCACCAAAATGATGTTTTTACAGAATTTAGTGTTGGAAAATGATAAAAAAAAA